CTTGGGAGCGGGTCTGCGGGGTGCCGCTCGGCGGTGGCGACGCCCGGAAGACGTGGCCGCCGCAGCGCGGGGCCTCGGCCCCAGCGGAGTCTGGAGGGGCCCGGGAGCGGCTCACTCACGGGGTCTGCAGCAAAGACCAGGTGAAGGCGTGGAGACCCGGGCAGGAAGCGCCAGGGAACCGGCACCAGCGCTGGGAGGTGCCCTGCACCTCTCCCCTCGCCAGCCCCTGTGCCTGGCAAGCGTGCCTTTGGATGTGATTTCTTGGGGAAGGGACGTGTGAGGAAAATGGAGGAGAACGGAAAAAAGAATAGGTCAGACTCCATGCTCAACGGGCCAGGGACTGCTTACTGTAGCCAGCCAGGGCACAGACCTTCCCGGGGTTTGGAGGTTGTGGGAGGGACTGGATTTGGAGCTGGGTTTGTGTGGAGCATCACAGGAAGCCGAAAATTAAAAATGGGCTCTGGTCTCTTGCGAGCCCAGGGCGGTGTCCTTGCCAGGCCCAGAGTGGAATGCTCAGGCTGGGGTGAGGGGGACTTTGGGCTGAGCCCAGGCCGGAACAAGCCTGTCTGCGGGCCAGCAGGTGAGGGCTGCACCGGTGCTTTGCTTGAGCTGGTGGAATTAGGCGGGAGTCATTCCTACAAGTCGGTCATGGGGCTTGAACTGTGAGCTTGGGCTCTTCAGCTCAAGTCTAGCACTCTACTGCTTGAGCTACAGCACCACTTTCGGTTTTCTAGTGGTTTATTGAAGATAGTCTCATGGACTTTCCTGCCTGCTTTGGCTTTGAACTGTGATCCTCAGATCTCAGCCTCCTGAGTAGCTAGGATGACAGGCGTGAGCCACCAGCGCCCAGCTATGTTCCATATAAAACTATTGGGCCGGGAGGGGAGAGACCAGTCCTTCACATCGGAGGTGCACTCAGCAACTGCCATGGTCCCCACCGGTTCAAGACATCAAGGGAAAAAAGATCCAAGCCAGTGTTTTGTAGAAACGAATCAATAATTTAGAGGAGTGCATGTTGGAAGCAAGGGACAGGAAAGAGACCAGGATGCCGATGGATGATCCCAAACGGATGGAGTGAAAGGTTCAAGTAACTGAGGACAAACAGTTGAAAGCACTAGCCTACTTCCAGAGGCCTGTCCTGCTGAGACCCCGGTTAGTTCCTGGGCTGGTCATGATGACGTGGCCTGGCACGAGTTAGCTGAGTGGATAAAGAGGCCCTCCCTGTTGTAAGGGAGGGGCTCTGGAGGCTCTGTGGTGGTATTGAGGTGGCTTTGGTGGTCAAACAGACTGTACATGGAGTTCTCTGAGGAGGTAGTGGCTGGTGACTACAGACACTCCAGAAGGCCCCAAGTCAAGAGCCTGTGTCCAGGGCAGCACTCATGCCCTGAGTGGAGGCGTGTGCTCTGGTCCCCCCTCCTCCTCCACCCCCTCCCAAGAGGAGCGTGAGAACAAAACCCGCTGGGCTGTCAGCCCTCCCTGGTTTTTAGTTTAACATGCATATAAGCTTAACACATTATATATTAAAGCCAAAGCATGGTTTATTCAGACACTGATCACGTTTGTTTCTAAATATTGAATTTTGTAATCAAATGAGCTATTAGCTGTTGAGCTTTCAAACAGCGCATCCTGGCTCCTAACCATTTTGAAGATTAGCAGAAATGTGTGTGGGGGTGTTGGGTAAGATGATACACACAGTCTCAGACGCAAAACCCTGAGGCCAGCCTGGGCTACCTAGCGAGACCTTGCCTCAAACACAAAACATGTTGGCTCTTTTGCCGAATGGGGCGTCAGTGGCTAACCAGTGCCTTGGAATGATGCAGGGCATTCTCTGGGGCCTGGCCAGGGTCTTGCCCCAATTTTTTTTCCTTTCCTGGGGCTTAGGGTCACCTGGTACTGCTCTAGTGTTGAGAGCCTGCCATGTAAGACAGACCATCCTTCTGGGCCTGATGGTCTCTGAGCTACACCTTTAAAGCTTATTGGCCTAGGATACTGCTAAGGTGGGCTATAAAGGAGATCAGATTAGCTTTGGATCATTATCACTCTCATAAGCCATGCCAAATTAACATCTACCCATCATGAAAACCGAGTTCTGGGCTAAGGCCAGGTGGAAGATGGAATTAACTTGGGAGCAGAGGAGAGCCAAGGGAAGATGTGTGCTGAGAGTCTAGTCACCAAGGCCAAGTACCTGCCTGAGGAGAGGTGGGGCTGAGGGGTTTCTGGCTAGGTTCCTTTGGAGGGCCAGAATAGGTTTGGTAGGGTTTCCGGGTAGCTGGCTTAGTTGGTGACCGAGGCTTGCTGGGGGAGTTACTCGTGGGGGGTGCCTGCAGCTGTGGGCTTGCATCAGGAGGGGCAGCTGACCTGCAGAGGCTCCTCCACCAGGGGCCTCTGGGCTCTTGCACCGTACTGGCCCCCCTCTGCAGATGTGTGAACTCAGGGCTCAGCACTCATCTGTATCTCAAAGCCACGTGTCCTTTCCCATCGTGAAGATGATGACATCATCTCCCATCTCACAGGACCGTGGTGAAGGCCAGATGCAGTCATGAGCTGACACACTGGGTGGCCCTGGGGTGGAGCTGCCGTATGCAGCAGTAAAGCTGGCCTGGTGTACACTGCGGCTTGCTAGCATTGGATGCAGGCCCCAGGAACAGGTCCTGAGAACCCCGAGCATTAAGGAAGGTAGTGTTAGGATCCATCATGACCATCCCAGGGGACCACGTGGAGGCAGGCAGGCACAGGAGAAGGATTATTACAAGGGTTATTGGGGGGCATATCTCCCCTGGGAGAGGGAGCGGGTGACATCTGGTCCCGTCCAGGTGGGTAGCTCTGGGACAGCCTGCCTGCCTCTGCCTGGTCCCCTGGGATGGCCGCGATAGAGCCTCACAGGTAGGGCTCCCATTCTCTGGGTCTGACCCCAAGATTTACTCCCTCACTCCACTGCCCAGAGTCCAGGTCACGTTAGGTGAGGAGAACACGTGACCCATCATGTCACCTGCTGAGGTCATGCCGGCATACAGGGGAGGGGAAGCTGCTGGGCACAGCACACACTACCCATGTAGCTGAGTATGTTCTGGGCGATGCCGGACCCAGAAGTGAACGTCATTATCTGGGTGTGCCCTCCTCTCAGTCCCTGCTTCCAGTCAGCTCCCGACCTTGAGGAAGGGCCATCACTGGGACAGCAGGAGAGGGAGTGGACAGGGAGTGGACGTTGGAGGTGACAAAGCCCTGCACTGTGTTCTCTGGGTTCTATGCATTATTGAGAAATAAACGACCTTGAAGCTGTGTGTGTGTGACGTGGGGTTTTTGTACACGAAGCAAGGTGGTCGTGGATGTGGGCTGTTCTTGGTCTGCTCCTTCTGTGTGGAGTGAGGGCAGCCCTCTCCTGTAGCCTGTGACGCAGTGCAGGTTCCGCCTCAGGCTGCCCACCGCAGGCTTCCCCCTCCTCTGTGGAGCCCTCCTCTTCAATTTTTGTCGAGCTACGCAGCTGGACTGACTAGGTGGGACTAGACAAAGCACACAGGCTGTTCCACAGACCTTGTCTGTCCACAGGCGCTGGACCTGGGGCTGATTAGAATTTAGAGTGGAGTTGAGCCCGGGTCCCTGGGGAAGGATGGGCAGCTGTGTAGGCACGGCGTCCCCAGTGCCACCTGGACGCTGGTAGTCTGGAGAGGAATGGACAGAAAGAATGCAGTCTCTACCCCCTTCTCTGGTCACTGCCATTGCTTTAAAAAAGCCATTGAGAGAGCCGGACGCTGGTGGCTCACGCCTGTAATCCTAGCTACTCAGGAGGCTGAGATCAGAGGATCGCGGTTCAAAGCCAGCCCGGGCAGGAAAGACCGTGAGACTCCTATCTCCAATAAACCACCAGAAAACCGGAAGTGGC